TTCGGAATTCCCATGCTCGATTACCCCACTATGCAAACTCCCAGCCCCGTAGGTGAACTCTGCAAAAAAATCGATAAAATCGATATCGATCGATGACGAAAAGTAGCCTATGACACCCGCCGGGGCCCGAAGTGTATGTGTGCCAAGTTTGGTCCGGATCGGTTCAGAAATGGATTTTTCTATTCGGAACATACGTACAGACAAACAGACAAATAGAGAATATTGGCTCATGAGGAAACGCTAGCTCTGAACCTATCGACGAATATCAGTGCGCAGTCGCTCCACAAACTAGTTTTGCTCCTGCTGTACTACCTGCCCTTGTCCCGCCGTAGTCTCTTACTTCTCAGATTGTTGGTGACGCTACTACCAATTCCCCTACTTCTTTACGGCATGCCAACAAAGTCTGTCGCGCCATATAATGCTGCTGCGGAGTGTCAAAATGCTTAGCTAGGTGCGCGACTATTTTTCCGTAGTTTTGGCGCTTGATGGGGTAAAGTTCCTCTACTTTTCAACGTGCCATGCCATCTAAGTACGTTATGGGGATATTAACTTTGTGCTTAGGAGGTTAGCGCTCACGCGTAGGCATAATATCTTCAAAGCGGCGGAGCCAAGTGTTGAACTGCAACGTGTCCCCACATCCCGTATATGACGACAAATAAATGTGGTGTCCCTCCGGGTTGCAGACCGCTACTTGAGGCAAGGTGCCTTATACGAGTGTCAATGGCGTTAACCTTGTTCATAATCCCCTTGAGAAGCGCCGCACTATTGTTATTGAAGCGCTGTACTAGCCGCGAGGTGTTGTAGTGCGTATCGTACCACATATTAACGACGTCGGATGTTGCATCCCTAAGAACTTTGGCATCTCGACCGTGCACCACTGAATCCTCCACATTACCTAGTGTAGCTCTAAGAGTGGCCATCATTTAATCCGGGGTTGCTGTATCTGTATCAGTGTCCTCTACGGGACCAGTAGTAGGTTCTAAGCTCTGTGTTTGGGTAACTACGACCCCTGTATCAACCGAATGGGCACGAGAGCGAGTCAGCGGAGGTGCCATTCGAGGAAAGAACGCAAGAAAAGTACGATGGAAAACGAAGAATATGTGAAATGTGTCTTCTTCTAACACTGCCATGTATATATACGAATCCGTTATCAGATAAGAAAAAAAATACGTAAACATATCCCTAAAAACAATTTTTCCCCGACCCTTATCTTCTGTCTATCTCATGAGAAAAAAACATAATTTTTCCCTATGTTTATAACTCACAAGCTTTCCGTGCTCTGTATCTGGGAGTGCGATCACATCGCCGACATAAACATTTGTCCGCGGCGCTTGTTGTAGTTCTCGCGGCGCCTTATGCGCGGACGTTACATAACGAAACATAATATTGCATACGCTAGGCGTATTAGATGAAAAGAGCTGTGGATGCATAGTCACAATGCACAAAATTTAGCTAATTCTATACAGGAACGCTCAAAATTCTAACACCGGTGATTCGAAGCGACACATTACATAACCACTACTTCAACTTTAGAAAGTCTTCATAGCTGCAGCTTACTCACTAACGATGCATGGTAGAGCCTTCAACGTTCTTTCACGTTTCCCAACACTTGATCGATGACCATTTCAACAGTTTAACGCCCGTCGGACCTTCACTCATAAGACAAAGATATGATATAATTACAAATGGATTGATTATGCATGGTAGAGCCTTCATGTCATGCCTGCGGATGGCAAACGATAATGCCAGTGGAGGAGGGATATTGAGATTGAAGATAAGATGGGGGAGGGATCGTATTCGGCACTTGTGTGCCACAGCTCTTGTTTGACCCTGGGTAAGGATCCCATGTATGTAAACTTACGAGTTTTCCAAAAGCTGTGTTTGGGATTTCCATATCTGGACAAGTATCCTCCGTTGTTAATATCAGAATCTGGACTTGGGCAACTACGGCCCCGGTATTGGTGAATGCATATTAGCTGCATAAATCCAAGAATGAGCCATCGGAGGTGTCGTGACAGCAACGTTTCAAGAATGGAAGGCTAAGCTGTGAAGGATATCTTTTCCCTTGCGCTACGGTACTCACGGTACGTGAGGAAAATATCTGATCAGGGAATGTAAAAGTTTTGTTGTTATCTTGCGAATTTCATTATTGATCTCAAAACACTACCGCATGTTAAACATAAACATCAGATCGTAGTTTAATGTTTATGTTCGCTAAGCCTCGCTCATCTTTGACTCAGGCTAATACAACTCACCTTTGCACAGTCACTCTCAGTATCGTACAGACATACTATGCAACGCCCTATCATAACTTATAATAACGGGCTAAGGGTGTTTACGTGTGTGTGCGTGTGTGTGTGTGTGTGTGTGTGTGTGTGTGTGTGTGTGTGTGTGTGTGTGTGTGTGTGTGTGTGTGTGTGTGTGTGTGTGTGTGTGTGTGTGTGTGTGTGTGTGTGTGTGTGTGTGTGTGTGTGTGTGTGTGTGTGTGTGTGTGTGTGTGTGTGTGTGTGTGTGTGTGTGTGTGTGTGTGTGTGTGTGTGTGTGTGTGTGTGTGTGTGTGTGTGTGTGTGTGTGTGTGTGTGTGTGTGTGTGTGTGTGTGTGTAAGTCTGTCCGTCACTAAATTCGTAGAACGTGTCCCAGCCAACCTCTTGAGCCAAAATTTAGCATAGCGCATGCTATTAACATGAGAGTTTACTATACAAAAGCACGAGCGCATCCGTTTTGTGGATCCCTCAAGATATGCGCGTCAATCGGATCCACTTGGCTTTTGGCCAGTGAAATTGAGGCCGTAGCACGGCTATTTGCAAAGTTACGGCTATGTCTGAAAAGTTAATGTGCAAGCCATGGACTCTGGCTCAAAAAGTTGAACTGAAGTTCATTACTTTGCGAAAACGGCGCCAAAAAGATTTGGTTGAGTAAATGTACAATTTGCCAAGATTTTATCCGATCATTTGAGGAGATTTTTGCACGAAGATGTAGCCAACGGTGACTATTGCATCCTATGGTGAATACCAAGACATAAAGTCCAAAAATCAATTCAAAATTGCACTTTTTCTTTTGGGAACAGTTTCATTCACGCGAAATTACCAACCTCATATGAAAAAGCTTTTGGAATGAGTAACTAATTACAAATCATTCGTGATAGTCCGCATAGCGCGGTGTGTTTCATGTCAGTATTGTGCGGAAATGAGTAAGTCGTGATAGTAGGGCCAGTGCGAGCCTCTGCGAAGCAGAGGTGACGCACTTATCGCAATATCGACGTAGGGCTTGTTCCGCAAGAGCTGCTTCCAATATCATATATTGGACGTTCACTAACATGTATCATTTTGAAGCTGCGCACGAAAGATACATTTTGAATGGAAGTACTGGTTGTATCAAATAAGAAGTGGTCTGTCAGCAGCCAGAGTGTTGCTGCCATTCTAAGGTCCCTCGGCGCCGACGGCCGCCGCCAGCAGCCGCCGCTGGCCGCTTTTGTTCATAGGAGCGCAAAATCATCAGATTTTTACTTAGAGTGCACCCGCCTAATCTTTTCATAGCAGTTCGATCTCCTATTTCCTACCTATGATCATTGCTGTTATTATCTTGTTGCCGTGGATGATTATCCTATTAACGCTCATTTTCCTTTGCAATTGAACCATAGTTGTGATTCCTGTTGAATTCTTAAGTATGGTTCTGCTTCAATGCTTCAGTGTTCTTTTCCTTGGCTATCGATGCTTATCTTGAATATCTCTGTAATGTATAAGAGTCGAACTGCATATTAACGGCAATAGAAGGAAAGAGCGTGGGAGGTGGAAAACGTAGGCGAGCGCAATCGGGATAGTGAAAACCTGGTAATTTGGCGCTTATGGACAAAAGCGGCCAGCTGGCTACGGGCTGCTGGCGGCTGCTAGGGATTGCTAGCGAGTGCAACGTGCTGCAACGGACTGCTAACCGCGGCTTCTGGCGCGGTATGAAGGCGGTACCCTTGCACATTTGGAAAGGATTACACTGATTATTATAGAAACTAGCTACTCAGATTGCTTGAAGCAGCGCTTCATTGGAAATAGCAAAGCACTCCCAGATGACAAACTCCCACTTTGATTGTCACTCATTCCTGATGCAAGCAGCGCGGCCTCCCAAAGTGCATGGTACGTGCGCAGCTGCAAAACAAAATTATACTAATGATATCCCTACAATTTCAGTTAATCTTCTTTGCCGTACAGGTTTTTAACAATGATACACTTTATTGCCTGACGTTTCGGTTACACACCGTCTTCAGAGGCCTGGAAAGGTGTCATTCACTTTGATACCACTCTACTTGCTGCCAAGCTCTTCTCCCATCTGCGTACTCGATTCATCTAGGATGAGGATCGAGAGGCTGGGCGTAGAAATCGACCCACCGAGTGTATCACTGGTAGCAGTGTTTATCTGCTTCAGAACTTGCTCGATGGACTGCAGTGACGAAATGAGCTGTCGGAACAGTGTGAGACTGCTTGAATAGATGAGAAGAGAGATAAATAGATGGGAGAAGAGCTTGGCAGCAAGTAGAGTGGTATCAAAGTGAATGACACCTTTCCAGGCCTCTGAAGACGATGTGTAACCGAAACGTCAGGCAATAAAGTGTATCATTGTTAAAAACCTGTACGGCAAAGAAGATTAACTGAAATTATACCAGAAAGCCCAGGTTACAAGAATGGAGGACTTTCAACATGATATCCCTACATTAATATCAAAAAAAAGATTGTACGTGACAAACCCTAGGAGAAAGAGCACTTGACAGCTTTTTGGCATCCATGGCAAGTTCTTTTCTTATATACCTACTAACGGAATTGAAGGTGAGGAACAACCAAGGCCGCAATGAAGAAATTTAGCCTCTAACCTTGTTCGTTCAGCGTCAAATTTGTTCCACTTTAGTGCATATACTAAACCCCAGGTACTACCTTGCAACAACTCCTTAACAGATCAACTTACGCGATTGTCATTCTTTGCAGGTCCTATAGGGGTAAATGCAGAAAATTGATTACCACCTTCCTATAATAGCTTCCACAACTTCTTCGACATTTTCGTTGAGGTAATAGTATGGAACGCTCACAGCTACACCACTTTGTCCTACCACACTCCTCAAATCCGTTCCTGAAAAGCGAAAGTTAAATTTGGACAAGGAACAAAGACAAAATTTGGAGGGTATCTGCAAGTTATTACTGCACATTGATCAACATCGAACGACGCTAAGCATTTTTTAGGTTCAGCGGTTTTACAATAGATTTCTCGATTACCAGCAAATCCAACTCCAACTACTCGTTTGATTTCCTTGTTCTGCGGATTAAGTTTTGGAAGCATTGTGTTATTTCTAAATGGCGTCGATGACCGTAGACTTTCTCGATTAACACTTACTCTGCAGAGAAAAAAACTAAGCAGTTCACTCGCTCATCATTTCCAAGACTATTGATCACTTCAATGGCTCTGAAAGAGATCACTAAAGCATTAATTCAACTTTTAAAATAAACGTCACCTTGCAGTGTTTATGGGGTTCTGGATCGGAGAATACTGCAAACTTTTTATTTCTTGCAATAAGTCATTGTAGTTTGTGCACATTCTGTCAAGTGATGGAGCCCTTGGGAACCTAGTGTAACCATATGCCCAAATCCCCGTGGCGACATTGCTTTTGGCAGCGAAGATATCATAACCAACCTCAGCAATAAACTCAGCTTCCTAAAAAGATTGTAGTCAGATTTCTGTTCCAACTTTCGATGGAGCTCAGCGATGTGTATGCAGAGGAGACTTCTAAACACTTTAGTTTTCATTACTGATTAGGCACAGCTAGATTGATGCCACCATTAATCCATTAAGAAATCCAAAGGTACATATTCGGAAGTACAGAGCTATGCTCGGCTCAATGCTGGGCAAGAACATGCAGCTAAGTTACCTCATCTAGCTCTACTTAAAGATGAATTGAAAGGGCAATAAAAGGGCAATAACGCGCTCAATTTCGCAATTATTACGTAAGATTTTTTCGCACTAAAAGTGCTCATAGATTTGCCTATACAGTCGTTCAGCAGGAACGGAAGACAGACTTGAAGTCAGCGTTATATCCTGTTCGAATGGTATGAAGCTTGTTTAGATTGACCACTTCCACTTCTGACCATTCCCTTGTTAGACGGTGCAGTGATTGCTAGGGTGCGGTCAAACGTTTTATTCTTGTTCAGCAACTTCTTAATGGAGAACGTCATGCCATCCCAAAAACAGTCTTTCAGGGGACATTAAATTCAAACCCTTGGTTTTTTGAAGCAGCCCAACATTTTTCTTGTCTTTCATTGACGTACGAACGCCATTTTTGTGTTAATAATCTATGCAAAAATGCTTCTTCCTAAAAAGGTAATAAGCGCGTAAAAATGCTTCATTTCACTCTTATAGTTTTCCGTCATTAGGAAGCCGAGAAATAAAAACAGATTAGCACTCCATCAAAATTGACAAGTTCATTCTAAACAACATGAGAACATCAGCTTTTCTCGATGATACACATCTTATCGCAAATCAAACAAGAAAACAACGAAGTTATAAAATGACTTAATGCATCATCAAAAGACTTATGTGTGAAAATCTAACGAAAGCAACATTGGTTTATGATACATGACACCAGCGAAGTACAGATAAACATCTGCCTCAAAACTTTCTTCAAATTTTCGTTATTTAGGTAAACTCACGTCTTCGTAGAATTCATTCTTGCTTCCGAAGTTGTATAGATCATCAATGAAGAGGCATTTGTACTCATCAAGAGGCACTAGCATTGTGTTTTTTCTTTTGTATAGAATCGTCGTTCCAAAAGGTAATACACTTATGGCCTACCAGGTATCGTCGGCTTTGGAGTCACTATAAATATGATGTATTCCTTCTCTTGCTTTTGGCTAATGAAGATACCCGTGCTCAATTAAGATTTTTTACCTGTTGTCAAGCGCTTCGTGGTCTTAGTAGTTGTTGTTGGATATCTGAAACCAAAGCGAATATTAAGTTGTTTATTTTTGATATAGAGTGTTTTCTGCAACATAGGAAAAATATCATCATGAGAATTTTCCAAACCTTGAATACTAGTGCAGAAGGTGGTCTTTGTGTTTTTTTACGCTGTTGGATTTAAATGATGTTTTTACCTGCCCAGAATAGCCTCATGCACATCCCGCAGATCCTCATCAAGATAGTAGTAAGGAACAGTGAGTGCTACGCCTTTCTGGCCTACTACACTACTCAGGTTGGTACCTTAATTTTTTAATTGAGAATTTACGTTTAAAACCTTTTTTATTCGTGTTTCAAGAGTCCTTGCATTAAAAAAAGCTCAAAGTATTCTAGTTAATTGCAATATGTCAGATGTTTACCGGCGAAACCAATTCCAACTATTCGCTTGATTTCCTCATTTTGTGGATCCAATTTGGGAAGGGTAGTGCTGTTCCTGTAATGCATCCATAGGAAAAAATAGATCCGATTTAACGCAGCGCAGATAGACCTACTGGACCAACGTAGATATACCTACTCTGCACTGATGAAAACGATACAATTCACACGCTCATCATCCTTCGGCAAATTGTTGATCACTTCAATAGCACTGAAAACACCTCTGACGACCGAATGCCAATGAATCATGAAAGTACCATGCAGTGTTCATGGGATCTTGTACAGGAAAATATTTCATATTTTTCAAGTCCTTCAAAAATGCAGTGTAGTTGGTATACATTTTTTCGAGATCGGGAGTTTGTGAAAAATTTGAGTAACCATATGCCCACAGCGCCCCGCTTGGAACGGTGCGCTTGTCAAGAAACAGATCATAAGCGAACTCTCCGATGAACTGTGCTTCCTTAAAATTACAAAAACTGAAAAATAATTAATTATCATCGTGTATGTCGCAGTAATGACTGGCTCAGATACTAACATCCAAGTAGAAATTTGCATTATTTCCAAAGTTGTATAAATCACCAACGAACAGGCACTTGTACGGCTCTGGAGGCACTAAACTAGATTTCCATTACCAAGTAAATTCCAAGCTGCTGCCATCAGAAACGCTTACTCACCAGTAGGAGGTCCGGAAGTTACTGAAAATCACTTCATTGAGGTCTGCAGTTTGAAAAATGCACTCGTGCTTGTGATTATGGTGCATGAAAAATCCTTGTGAATTTTGGATTAACTTAGTCTGCGACAATGCGACAAATCGTTACAAAAGCTGGCTCGTGCAATACTTGCGAAAATCATTGCATTTTAAGCAAACAAAATTTGAGCACCAAAATCTTTTGCAAGCGATCTGAAGTGTTTTAACAGGCGGCGGTGCAGGAGGAACCAGAGCTCTTGACCCCTGTATCCAAGAGGGAAAGGGGAGGAGCTGCTGCGTGCCAAGAAGGATCTGGCGACCTTCCAAGCTCCGCCCCTCGCGCTGAGCCTGGGTTGCCTTTTTGCTCAGGAATTCGTGGAAGGAAAAGTTCAAAAGACTTAAAGTGGAGATATGGAGAAAAGGAAAACAAATTTGTGACCAGTTTTGAAAGGCTAATCTTTTGAATGGACTTTTGTATGAATTCACATCAATGCAATTCATCATTCTTAAAGATTGGAATTGATGAAAAATTTTTTGGAGGGGTAAAAGCTTCGGAAATTTTTCATGAACTCCTATAAATGGCTTCGCGGAAAGCTTAGGTACTCTATATTGCATTTTTATTTTCCTGAGCTAATTTTCTCAATCTTTTACGATAGTCATTGCGTTAGTTGCATTTGCGCCAATCGATAGCCGATCATTTGACCTTTGCAGGATCAAGCCAGTCGTCTGATGAGCCAAGAAACTCATAATTCAAGTGAAGACTTGATTCGTTGTTAACTCCAAAGTATTTTACTTGGGGGGGCGGGGGAAGGGGAGGTGAAGGGTGAGAAAAATTCGCGATAGAGCGTTGAAAAGTCGTGTTTCAAGAGGTAAACTTGCGAAAGTAGATGACAAATCATTCATCAAAAATTTTCGAGTTGCAAAAGTAGAATCGGGCAAAAAGTTGCAAAAAGCAGGTAAAGACACCAAAACTTGTCTGTTATAACAGTTATAGTAGTTTACATTGATATCGTCCCACTTCTCTAATCCTATGCCTCGACAACTGCCAGCTGGTAAAGATTGTCCAGGTTTGGTTCGCACTTCAAATCTGAGCTGTGAAGCTTTACTGAGCCTCCTCTCAGGCATAAGATGTTTGCATTTGCATTTTACGTCCTTCTTGGATCTGAATATCCAGAATTTCTTAGTCTCTTTGTTAAAGTTATTATTAGAACCACTCTGAAACTTTATTTTCTGCCTATGTCCCCCTGCTTTGAATCAATCTTTTTTCTGATCATTTTCTAGGCTTTGTATCATCATTTCGATTCTGAACAAAATTTAAAAACAATTTAATGGTAGTGGTGTTCCATACATTGACTCTTAGAAAGATGGTTACTCTATTTATATATTAGGTTTATGACATGATACCATTTTTATTATCATCCTGGTACCCGAAAACCTGTTTGAGAATCTTTGCAGCCCATTTTTCGAGTTCCAATTCATAGTTTAACCTCTTAATCCATCAGATTTGATCAATATCTAGTAGTCCATCCACCATTCTTGCTCAACACACAATGCAAGCATCTCGTGGGCGGAGCGATGAGCGGAGCCTCCGCTGCCTTCCCCAATCCCCTTTGGATACAGGCGGCGAGGGCTTTGGTTCCTCCTGCACCACCTCCTTTTAACAAGTACCATATGAAAAAGATATATAAATAATAATTTTGATAATTGACTGATCTTACATAATAAACTGGGTTGGTCCAAAAGTTCTTGAGCATCGTAAAAAAATCGTGATTTCGCTTCTGGATGGATTCCTTTGAATAAAGTTTTATTCAAAGGACAATTAAGCATTCTACAGCGGTATAATAAGAATCAGTATGAAATAAAGGCTGCTGCATGACGAAGGCGCAATGGCGATATTAGTTGAGCGGGCGCGAACGCGACGCGCGCGTATTCTCACCGTTGTAGATCCCGCACCTCATGCGCTCTGCGGCTAATAAAGCCGCGTTCGCGCTCGAAGATATTGCGCCTTCGTCATGCAGCAGCCTAAACTCGAAATGACATTTTTTGAGCAGAGTTATGAAGAATTTTGAGACTATTTTTATTGAAGCGAAAATTTTGCGCATTACCATGGTACCTCTGCCAAGAATCAAAACGATTAGGAGCGAATAAAAAAAATTACTCTAATCTTGAAACTTTAGAGCAAGCTAAAAAAGCCTAAGAACGTTACAGCGAAAACCGAGACAATTATAAACCTTTTTTTCAGTTGAGTAAAGTTCGTGCTAATTGAGAGCGGATTTGATTTTCATGGAAATGCAAACACGAAAATCAGCAAATTCCACGAAAACCATAAATGCTCTCGATTAGCACAATGGCGCTTTACTAGAAAGAGGAGGTCACAAGTTCTCTTCATTTGCTTCTAACTTTCGAACTTTTTCGTTTCCTTGGCAAAGATACCATAGTATAATAAAAAGTCTTTTAGAATTTTTTTTAGAGAAATGCCAACTTTGAGTAACTTCGTCCATCAACTTGTATTTCTCGAATTTCTTCATAATGATTCAACGCAGGCATACTACTGAAAGAGCTTGACTTGTACTTTGACTAACACTTCAATCAATGGATCCACTAGGATACGAAGAAGTCAAGAATTTTGAAAATTATGCGACAAAACTTTCCACCAATTGCAAAAACTTCAAGATTTTTTTAAACTTGTTTCATATCGAGCTATTGAAACGTCAGTAGACAAGTGTAGTATGATTACCAATAGAGAGAAATTATAACCTTCACACCATGTTCAAAATATTAGGTTGTCAAGAAAATAATTTCGTTTTTTTTCAGGTTTTTTTTGCGTAAAATTAATATTACTCGAGAACTAGAACATATCCGAGGCCAAAATTTTATAGTCAAAGTTACAAAGCTTTGCAGTATACAAAGGCTTATGTGACAGGGGCCCAGTATTGCTGGGGGCGAAGTGTGCAACTTTCTAATTCCCATTTTTTCTTGGTTTCTAAGTATGGAATGTAGCAAGTGTACCTATGGATAAGTGCATGTGCTTTTTATATGCAGGAGCAAGTGAGAGGTTTGCAGGATTTTCTAAGACGAAAGTTTAATTTTTGGCTTCACGAGTTGCTCGGATGTTTCGGCTCTGAGCTTTGCGTAAACAACAAGTTCTGCCAATGTTTGGATGCCATCTTGTAGAGCTTCCTTTGCTCTTCGAATGGTACATTTCATATATTTTTTTGTACTTTTCTTATGGCTTTGCTATAAAAAACAACATTATTTTCTTGAGAACCTGATATTTTTTACAGGCAAACAATATGACCGCCGTCTAGTGGGGTTCCTGACATTTTATTTAGCAAGAGCAGATCTCTTCCGCCCCGCGATGCCGCTAACAAGGGAAGAATACTTTGTCGAAGTGGCTTTTCCATCTAAAACGTATACAGACTTATTGAAAAGAAACGCCGTTTCCAGATCAGCTTTTGATATCTGCAAAGCGCTTCTGCGAGGGAAGCTATGGAATTTTTTTAAAGCAAAAGTTGAGGCCCTTATATCACTGCCAAAGCGCTTTATGCAACAAGTACCTTTGTTCAACAAAACATGGCAGTCATTACTCCTTCTAAACACTGAAAGATCGCAACACCTGTTAATACCCTAGCCAGACCCTATGAATCTTCACCTCAAAGTATTCAGACCACTCATTTCCCACATAAGCTTTACAGATACCTAAAGCAGATTTGGAATCAGTGTTTTATGCTCTGTAAGACAGTCTACATTTCACATGGAAACAATTCATTTCACCAAGTACCCTTCAGTTGTAAATGACCAGTGGAGTGCACAACAACAAAGCGCTCGGCAAAGTCTAATATTCGCTCCGTAAATGTCGTGTACACTTCCCATTTAGTAATTTCAAAGTACATTGTAGTGCGCAAGGCTATGATAAGGGTCGCACAGCGACTCCGCGTCCTCACAATGACGTTATTCCGCGTTCGAATTCAAAATCGAAAGCTTCGGAAAGTAGAGCAATGCCATGAAACTCGTGAATTTGTTCAGAATTTTCTTTGTATGCTGAAAAAGGTGTGGACTTCCTGATAACCATTAGAAAAATGGGCACACACTCAGAAGCGCATTTTGTGCGAAAAAAGATATCGATGAATGTACGTCAAGAGGCGCGATTTTCGTTGCTAGATGGACACCAATTAGCGCATTAGACCCGTATGTACGTACATTCCCGCTGGGGAGGGAAGGGGATCTGAGAGAGGATACGTCATATCTCGCTCTATGTATCTGTCTTTTTCTTTCTCTATCTTGCTTATGAGATTCTTCATACACTTACACCTGCGCGTAATGAATGCCAGGTTACTTCCATACAAGATTGGTTTTTCTCCAGTTTATGTAATTCCCTGAAATCATCTCTAATTTTCAAAGTGATTTATCTTCCTGAGAAGTCAATGAAGACGCTGCAAAATTGTGCTGAGGATATACTACGGGTGCTAAGCATGTTTTCGAGAGAACAAATGGAATCTGAAGATTGTGATGTTTTCGATGATTCCTAGCTAGCGCGCTACGGAAAACTGAAGATTTTGATATTCTGAGATTATACTCATTTCTGCTATGAATATCTTTAGCAGTGCGTTAGTATATTCACAGTACAATTTTACAGCGTTTTCAATGAGTTTTCACGAAGATAAATGACATTAAAATTGAGAGGTGATCCCTGGGAATTTTCTGGGGATTCCCAGGGGATCACACAAAATAGTGGAAATCTAATCAATTGTGCCAGTAAGCTGGCATCAATTATGCGCAAGTATTAGGGTATAAAACCTTTGTAAGCAAGATAGGTAAGGAAGAAGTAGAAACCTAGAGTACCGAGTTATGACGCATCCCCTCTCTGACTCCCTCCCCTCCCTAGCGGAGATGTACGTGCATACGGGCCTTAAGGCCGCATGCACTAACATCCTGGCGGGGAGGAGATCGCAGCTTAAAAGAAAGCTTTATATTTCGAAACTCCAGATACCTGGATTTCACGTTATGTACTTATCCGTAAGTATTCCTACTCCCTTCACTATGAACATGTTGAAGAGGAGCAAGAAGCTGTACGAACCGCATTTTTTAGCTTTTGTATAATCCCTGATGATCCCCAGCGCTTTTCTTTAAAGTCATTTTTCTTTCTTCGAAGTTAACGAAAATCTTCCAAAGTTATACTGAACATCTAACACAATAGTGCTAAGCATGTTGCTGATAAGAACAAATGATGTTTTGAAGTTTTGAAATTTCCGATAATCCATAGGTCGAAATTTGAGGTTTACCGAAAAATTCGACTTTTCAAGAACTCATTTGTTCTCATCAACAACATGCTTAGCACTGTCGCTTTAGATAATCTGCACAACTTTGGAGGTTCTTCGTTACCTTCGGAGAAAGAAAAATGAATTCAAAGAAAAGCGCCGGGGATCATCAGGGATTATACAAGAGCTGGAAAATGCCGTTCGTACACCTTCTCGCTCCTCTTCAACATGTTCATAGTGAAGGATAGTAGGAATACTTACGGATAGGTACACAACGTGAAATCCAGGTATCTGGAGTTTCGAAATATAAAGCTTTCTTTTAAGCTGCGATCCCCTCCTCAGCGGGGAGGTTAGTGCATGCGGCCCTTAGTATCTTATGATGTTTTGAAAGCAAATCAAACATCTGACAAAATATGTATGGGCGCCCCATGGATTGTTCAATCTTGTGATTTTGAAAAAAATTCCAAACATAAGTGTTGGCCAAAAACCCGTGGTAATGTAAACAATGGCGTTTTCGTGAATTTTTTGATAAAGGTTTTACTTAAAGCAGTCAAAGTTAGCAAGTAGTAGCTTTAGATAGCTAGTAACCTACACTTTGACTGGTATTTTTCAAAGCCTTTCATAGCTCTAAATTTGGCTGCTAAATTAATGACCGGAAAAACCGCGCCTCTTGACCGTTTTCCAATGTTTCTCGCTGCACGAAGAATAATTTTTGTAGCTGGAATACTACATTAGAACATCAAAAAACCATTCTGAGCCACACTCGTCTATTTGCTCTGGATTAGTGGTTCCGATGCATGTTATTTTCGGCAGCAATGTGACTGTTTGAAATAAATAAAGCTTCATTTTAAAAGGCTTTTCAATATAGCGACTTGTTTATCACATCATCATAATGGCAGATTCTTTGTTATTTCTCAGTCGGCCAGGACATACGACGGGTAGAAGATGTCATGTTATCAAAGGTTATGATTTACGAGAAAATGCAAAAATAAATCAAAATTGGCTTTTTGTATTGCTTGCTCGAGAATCATAACTTTTCATAGAAATGTTTGATCAGCACAAACTTTACACAGTTAGAAAGAGCAGATTATCTAACCTATGATACCAAATGCTCAAAATTTTATTGCAAGTTTCAGACGTTTTACGACCCCACACAAAAAATTCGAATTTGCTTTTATTCTTTCGCAAAAAGTTTTTTTGCTCCCAAAATCACCGATCTTATGTGGAAAAGCTTCGAGAATGAGCAAATGTTTACAAATTGATGTTTAGCATTGTATGGTGAGCTTCAAAGTCATTATAATGCAATCGTGAGGAAGGCATACGGATCGTAGAGCCAGCGCGAACCTCTGCGGTGACGCACTGGTATATATAGATATATACTTACCAGAAGTGCTTGGTCTGGGTTTGCGCGTTGGTCTCGTCGAAACAATAGAATGACCTGCAATCGTAGTGCTTGTTTTAATGCACAGACAAAATCAACAGCTTTCACTGACTCACCAAAATCGGAGATTCTTCCAGCTATGTCATGCTCTTCCCCTACTACGTTACTGTCGCTCAATGCGTATAAATCAGCAACGTCACGAGATGGTCGGGTGTTTGAGACGATTAAAACTTTGTCATTTACTCCAGCTGATTTCAGCTCAGTTACAAATTTGCCCATATCGTCGTCTCCTTCCCTCAAAACAGCTCATTTGCAAATGATATGCAAGATTCAAATCGAAACTAACTCAGTTAGTAATACTGAAAAAATAAGCATTTTTATTTAGAAACAAACAAAAGCATTGAACTCGATGATATTGGCAAGACAATCAAAATAGTACCTGTAGGTGAAGTCGCACGGAATAAAATAGACGAGAAGATCTTTCTTGCTACGTTGACTGATGTACTCTTTCGCTACCCTCAAATGAAAGTGTACTTTTTTCAGTAACGACTATATACAAGCAATCACCGATAAATTGTGAAACGGGCTCATCTCTATAGAACTGCAAAACAGTCTCCTCCATTCTATTTTCAGCGCATTACAATAGTACTTGTCATTAAAATATGATAATGTGTTGAAAAAAACGTGTCACCGGAGTGACTCGACTTTGCGAAACTTGCATCGCCATATCTCGGTTCGACAACGAAGGATTTTGATTCAGAAACACTAACTGACTCAGCTCGATGTCTCGTAACTTTTGAAATTTAAAAATTGCTTGTCTGGGTACGGGAAACAGTACATACAATCCCTATCAAATAAGCTGGTGCCTATCGTGCACATAAGGCACCCAGAGCAGTTCTGTATATTTTGTACTAGCTGACATGCCCGGCTTCGCCCGCACCATGGGCCTTACTGGCTCAATAAAGAGCATGGTAAGCGACTTCAAGGACTTAAATTATCCGCGATTCGGCTTTCTTCTGTTACTCATGTAACACAGGAAAACACTTCCTGACCGCATCGCTTTGAATTACTGCATCACCGGCATGGTGAGATGAAAACGAGTTTTACCGCTATTGTTTACGCGAAGTTGGTGGTGGTTTGACAGTAACTGATAAGTCTTCTTTTCTTCAAAATCGATAAATCAATAGAATGGGAGCCGCGAAAAGTAGCCTAAGGGAGGGCCGGTGTTTGAGCATATGTGTGCAAAGTTGGCGGTAATGGTCAGGGTCAAGCGTGGGGTGCGGCACGCCACACTTGGGGGGTCGTATTGGGGAGTCAAAAGGGGAGGGGGTCGTAGTTGGGTAATCTGATAATATTTGTAACATAATATTCGTATCATATACATAATTAGCATGTCAAGTAACCCCTGTAGACAAAGTTTGAGCGAATTCTGAAGATTCAAGATACTAGGTTACCTAAGTAAAATGGTCATATTCCAACATGGTTAACTTTGTTTCAGAGGTGAATTAGCTATCCGTTTTTGCACTCAAGACAAAGCACTGCTCCTTCTTTGTCCATCTCAGAAATCCCGCTGCAAAAGACCTCCAAACCGTGGGATTAGAAGCCAACCAAAATCTCATTTTTCCCATTTTTTTTAATGGCTGTGCCTTCACCAAATACTACTCAGAGCTAAGAAGACGAATCAGGCTTAAAACATTCCTATGGAATCTACGAGGTTTAGACTACCGATTTATACAAATACTGTCCGCTAAAAATGTTTTGATATAGTTAATGGGGTGCGGCACACCCCCTCAAAAGCTGCGGCTGCCGCAGCTGCTCAATACTCATACCAGCTCCATTGCTGGTATGAGTATTGAGCACATAGCTTCTTCTTGCTACACTGGAAATTTGGAGTCGAACGCCCCACTCATAAGAAAATTGTGGCCCTTTCAATATGCCCATTCAGATCAAAATCAGCCGTCAAATTACGTGTGATTGTAAAGTGCAGTCACAGAAAATCGGGCGTACAGCTCTCAGAAATCTGAAAACTCTCTAGAAAAAGATGGTGTCCTCCAGGATGTCACACTTTGAGGTCCAGAGGTTAAGAGGAGGAAGAAGGGGTCGTTTGACGGTTTTCATGGGAGGAGGGGGAGGGGTTTCGAAAAACTTGTGCCTGACCTCTTTCTCAACTCTGGTAATGCTATCTTAGGTATATAGTTCGGGGAGGGGGGTCTTATTAAAACAGCAATCAGGGGGGGGGGGTCGTAACCAGCGATCGTGTGCCACACCCCTTGCTTGACCCTGGTAATGGTCCACACACAAAAATCTAACTTCTTAAAACCTAATTAATCTAAATCTAACAATTTATCAACGCTCAGCTTTATATATGTTTAGATAGATAAGATGCGAGTGTCGAGCATAGCTCAAATGGTGTCCTAGGTTTTGAGATTAGTACGCTATGAAGCGAACTATGGCGATACCAAGCAAATGAAGGCGAATTCAGTGATCATTGCGCTATATTCCCCAAATTATGAGTAGTGGTAAGTATAGTCTTAGCAAAAGAAGACTTACGATTCCTGCCTATAAGATGATCCGGCACGGGATTTTACAGAATCCAGAATCTCTAAAGCTTCAGCAGAATTCTGTGATGATGTCACATTGACAATGTCTGAGTAAAAGATGAATGCGTACAATTGTTTTACATCGTCCATCGCCAAAATTGCCTCGCGAATGTTTCGCTTATTCTAAAAATCATTGTTAAATTCTGGTTTTAAAAATTCAAAATATTCTTTTCTTTGACATAAACTCAGTTGCCAATCATATTAGGTTGTCCCGAAAGTTTCGTCAGCTTTTCAGATTACTATGAGACCACGCACAATGAAGACATGAACGAGTTTCAACATGCATTCGATGCAGCTTCTTCTCTTTCTTGTGGTTACATTTTCGAACTACAATCCTATGTATGCTTTTTGATAGTAGCTGAAATTCTTCACCCGTCATTTTTATCTGCTCAAAGTTTGGCTAATTTTTGCCTAAGCATGGCTCAAATAGGGCAATTTTCGAGCTTTATGGAAATATTTCTAGATTCTTTTAATCTGCTATCTACCTTTTGCTTAAAAAAATTCTTTATTCGAAGGCCTCGGTTTTTGGCAAAGCCGTGAAACATGGAACTGCAGCAAAAAACATGAAACTTTCGAAGTTTTTGCAATTTGAAACTTGTTTGTTATTGAACATTATTTATGCAACCTATCCAGGTTTGATTTGCTTTGAAGAATTAGCTTTTTGGAGATTTCGGTACTTCACGTGTTAAACGTAATCAAGAAGCCGTGGTTTTTCTTGGATAATTATTATGGACTTGATAATAGTGCCTCAGGTAATTTAAAATAGTTACATTGTAGCCAAAGGTTTGCTTTACATAACAGTTAACAGCGCTCTTTAGAAATAGTAGGATAAGAAATTTCAAAATTCAAGAAAGATTTGGCATTACTGTTGAGCTGCTCAAAAAGTCATTGCGATAGCATCGCAAGGACAGAAGAGGTCAGAGAGCAATTACAGCTGTAAGAAAGAGGATGAAAATCTGAATCAAATGGTAGCTAGGTCGTTTATGGATTGGTGTTCTTTGGTTTTAGTGAGCAATGAAACAAACCGACAAAACTTTTGGGACAACCTAATATCTGGATCTTGCGTTTTTGGATTAAAGCTGCGTTTGTTGAACAATGGAAGAGTAAAGCAGAACCTATTTTCCATATTGGTCTGCATAGCTCTATTTCACCTTTTGTCTACTCACAAACATTATCGTTAGATTACCATTCAAAGACTCCTCATCGAGATTTTGTTTTGATTTTTTATTTGGTTTCGAATGGCTTTGACGATTAAAGTATGTTGGTATCGTATCTATACGTCATTAAGCGTAAGTTCTTTGTGAAATCCAAATTTTAGCAAACGCAACAGCTTTGCATTGAAACCATGATATGCGAGCAAATCTCATGGTCACAACAGAGAGAAGATTCTAGAGCTCATTATGTTTTGATCATCATCGACGGCGGCTTACAAAAGGCACGCCAAGCGACCTTCTAACGCGTCTTTCAGTGGAGCAGCGTTGAGAGATCAGAGAACTTCCCTGACTTCGGTATTTATTCCCCTCACCCATCGATCTTTTCTCTCATTTTTGTTGTTGTTGCATCGGCTCTCGCTCCAACGTATGTTGCTGTGATTTTCTGTCTTTTGTGGCTAAGATGGCTATCACGCCGTAATTTTTGTGGCTCTGAGCGAAAGGGATTACGAATAACACGAAATCTTCCCTTGAAATAATCCTTTCTTACTCATGAAAATACAACATACAGCTAGCCTCAATATCCATGCATTCCTGGCTTAAGAGCAGTGTCCCGATAGATTCCAGTTCGGCGAGATGTGGGTGTGGTGATATTTCTGGTCACCTTCACTAACCTTTGGTCTTCATCCGGCTTCATGATGTTATTTCTGTCACAAGGAAGCTCCCTCGAATCGGCAAGTCCGGACAACCCCGTTCACCTATTCCGCGCAGGACCACCACGGCCGCTACCGCATTGCGCATGCTATTTAGTGCAAAAGATACAGGCAGCAGATTTTCGTCTAAGGCCTACCGGGTGGGGGACATTAGGTCGCCGAAAAAGGGCGGTCCCCGCGGTCATTTGCGACAAACACGCACCCTTGTACATGCGCGGACATGCGTTCCTGCAGGGAATCCGCGCGGGACTCTTCCAAATTCGGCGACCTAATGTCCTCCACCCAGGCCTACCGACTTGCGGAATTTGAAGGGCTTCGGGTCCTACACGGCAAGAAGGCCCAAAATATGCAGAAGTCGAAATGCAAAATCTGCTGGGACACTGTCTCTAGCGAATTAAATCCTAACTTACTTTTTCAAGACTACAGTCTTCTTCCTGCAATTTGCCAGCATGCGTCAATCCCAAATCATATAAACGTGCTCTATCACCAACATGTATGGCGAAACACATAATAGGATCTAAAAATGTGCATTGATCGTGACCCTGAAGATTGTCTTAAAGATAAGAATGGAACGAAATCGCAAGGGCCAACTGCGTCTCACCTCTGCTTCCATACTTCTTCTTCAATACGACCGCAATAATGACGCCTACTATGACAATGATCAAGATAGCTCCTCCTATTGCCCATTTAATAAATTTCTTCATCACCTGAAAATAATCTTGCGGTTGTTTTGGTTAATAAGTATAGGTAACAGTAATTGTGCTCACTCTTTAGAAATTCGAAGCTTTCTCAGTTTTTTTTTCATGCAATAAGGACTTATCAAATCCCCTTGGTTCAAATCACTAAAAAAAAGAGCTTCTCTTGCTGTGAACTCTTCAGAAAGTTAAGACCTAGTCTCAGTCATCATATTCTATGATTTTCTAAAAATCTTAAGATATTCGGTCGGAAATTTGCTTACTGCTTACAAGGGAATGGTCAGAAGTCGAAGTGGCCAATCCGTACAAGCTGCATACCATTAGATGCAGCATAAAACGCTGACTTTAAATCTGTCTTCCTTACCTGCAGAGCACTTTTGTGGACGAAATTATAAGCCGCTAAAGGCCATTATTTTGCTAAGAAATTGTGCGTGTAGAGTGCAAACTTGACCGCACAAAGCCATTCTCAACTTAGTGTTAGACCAGAACATGCAACTAGGTCACTTCATATGACCCGTACCTAGAGGAGGGCTGAAGGTGCAATAATGTGCCTGATTTCGCAATTTTTGTATACGGTTTTTTCGCAGTAAAGCTGCTCATAACTTCGCCTACAAAGGCGCTCTGCAGATATGGAAGACAGAGTTGAAATCAGCATTTTACGCTGCATCGAATGGTATGCAGCTTGTATGGATTGGCCACTTCGACTTCTGACCATTCCCTTGTTAGAAGTTAGCTAAAGATACAATCAATTCTCGGATCATTCGATACACAGACTGACGCTGCACTACCAGTTTTGTTTGTGATTCAAGCGAAAATTCACTAAAAAGCGTGAAAATCTATGCTAGTTTATTGACTCATGGGTCTTCAAGACGTATGGCACTCAGGAGCTGTTTGCAATCAAACAGTAAACACATTGAGTTGGGGATCAAAAGTTTTTACAAATGAGATTTGTGAGTAGTGAATAGCACTCCACAATAGACAAAATAGCAACTTGCCTAATGGGCGTAGTTTTTCATTATAATATTCTTAATACACTCCAAATCACTGCCGTTTGATCAAAATGTTGCCTTCAGCCATTTTGCTTTGTACCCCAAAATTCACGATCTTTTTGAAACAAAATTGACAAGAGTGCAATTGATATACATTCTGTTTCCTCTTGATTATCGGATGGTTAACCGATGAAGACGTTTGCACTCAGACAATGAACCAAAAGACCAGAACATTAAATCTGTCGGCACAAGTATCTTTGATTCAAGGTGATTGGCGGCAGGGAGGCGGCGCTTTCAGGCCTAATTAAGGCTAGGGACTGATCAGAGAGCAAGCTCGCGGGAGATGCGCAGAATGCGTGTGCGCTCTCCAGCCGCCAATCCCGTTGAATCAAAGGGTGCAAACGATACACTAAAGTATTACAAGTGGAAAAGGTACAGTATCTTTGTTTTTTCGTATTATTATATCCGAATATTCGTTCGGCAGAGAAAGGCACTCAGTAGCCTATCAACCGCTGTATCACTGCTTATCAAATAAGGCAACCACTTCTTGAGCACGTAGGGAATAACCCAAACACTTGCAAAAAATGCTGTTAAATCGTCATCTACCTTATTAGTGAAAAATCTGATTAAAAGTCAAGAGAAACTTCATCTTCCAGAAATTTCCGTGCCCTGATTGTACAGTCGAAGAGATAAGGAGTCTCACTTAAAGCTGAATGGTCGAAAAAAGTAGGCGCGCGTTTTCTTTTTTGCGCAATTCTGTTGCCACTTCGCAGGGCTGTAAATTTTCGGATTTCTAGGACTTCATAACTTACTCAACTGCAGTCTCATTGAAAATTTCACAGCAAAACGTGTCAGTTGAAATCTATACAAAGCTTTCTTTCATAGGATGATGATTTTGAATGAAATGCTCGTAAGCTTGCGAACTCGTTCGCTAAAGAAGTGTGAAAGTGAAAAATGCTTTTAGAGCGGAAGCAACTAAGATTGATGCTCCAAAAGATTTTGCACGATTGGGGAATTTTGCACGATTGGGGCATGAAATACTATCAAAATCACAGCAGAAAGAATAATGCTGGAATCAGGGCTCGGCACGAGCTGGCACCAGGAAATTTTCAAAACGAAGTTCCCCTTGACTTTTGGGAAATTTTACGAAGTCCCCTTTGATCCTCAACGATATCCCCTTTGAAATCCTAAAAAACCCCCCAAAAAACGAAACGTCAACTAAAAAAAAAGGTAGCCGCCCCCAATTTTGCGTATATCTTCGCCCACAAAAACGAAACCCCCTTTGCTTTTTGCCCCAAAAACGATATCCAGCTTGCCCCGTGCCAGCTGGTGCCAGGCCCTGGCTGGAATATATACTTTCTTAGACAATACCATAGAGAGCCATGCATGAGTGAAGTACACGTGGCATGCAAAAAAGGTGTTTTGACTAACAAGATAACAGCTGTCAGCATCGACATGTGTAGAAATTCGATTGGCAACACTGTACTTGGGGCGGGTGGGAGGGGAGGGGGGGGGGGGCAATCCATCTGATTTTAGAAATACTTCCCAATAAAACTGAAATGGCGTGCACTGACAGTGCTACCTGACCTAATTTCTCCGAATAAAAAAATAATGCTTTCATTGTCTATCAGAAAATAAATTTTTGAATGCAAATTTCTACTTCAAAAATGATTTGAAATTTTCTTTAGTTTTCCCAGATTAGTCATATCAATGAGCTTTTTCTATAGCATCTTGTTTGAGCAAATTTTATATTCTGCATTGGCCAATGTTGTACCAAAAGCTGTCGTGGTTCATCTGTGAGTTGAACTCCCGGAGACAACCCTCTCACTAAAAGCCCTTTTCATTATTGGCATCGTTTCACCAACGAATCGAATTGTTTTCTCGGATTCTCTCTAGCGCTAGCTCTCTGAGCAATGGTCAAATTTGAAGTGTCAAATCTCATCTCATCAGGCTGCATACTGCTAGAGCAGCAAAGAAAATTGATCCAACAAAGTCATAAGCAATTTTGTTGCAAAAATCTCATATCTGAAGTCTTCAGTCCAAAAATGGGCCCATAATTGTTCTTCCTAGTCACTTATTTCAATTTTGAGCGGATGTCATGCTGAAGTCATATATCTATGAAAGGCACCTGTAAGTTACAATCTCCTCGCGGAAAGCCTCGCCCTCAGTCGCTGTCACCTCGACGTACGGCCGGTGAAAACGCCATTTTTGCAACAAAGTCACAGCCTTTCCCAGGAAATCACTAGTTGCGGGAACCAGTGTGCCCTTATCGGAGTCTAATTAGTAGATAAAAATTGTGGGATCTTCTCAATCTCTATATACATAAAGCAGAAAACTTGTATGTTTGTGCGTATGTCCCGTAGTCACGTAACCATACCAATTTACAGCCCTGCACATTATGTGACTATCATAATGTGCAGGGTGTGCAGGGCGTGCAGGATGGGGAGGGAGGTAAGTGAACATGCTGATTCGAATACATTATTGACAGGACCGGGCGGAGCCGGGTTTGCCAACTATAAAATAAGAAGGGCAGCAGGTGCTGCGAGCAGCCTTGCGACAGTTTCTTTCGAAAATAGTGAAGTGACACTCTGAAGAACGAGAGCAGGAAATAATGTGTACTCTTAAGGAAAAGTGCAAAACTCCAACATGCCCATATCATGTCGAGATGCTGACGATATCCATGAGTTTGGAAATTCCGGCAATAAGACAATTTTTGGCCCAGGCGACAATTCTGAAAACTCTATCTCTATCCAATCACTTTTATCATCATTTTGAATGAAAGAAGAAATAGTTGAATTGCTAAACAGTATTGTTTTGTATCCCTTTTAGAAATTCCCAAAAACATTTCAATAACAACTTCGCTTGGCACTATTCATTTGGCGATGCGGAAGATGCGCATCTATCATGGTAATCAAGACGAAGTACTACCGACCCTGCTGTTCAAAGAATACTTGGTCGCTTTTTAGGTTCGAACAGCCAGTGCAATTTGCATCTATCCCTTGTATCGAATTTGCGACGTACTAGAAAACTACTGTCCGCTAACAAGGGAAGTGTCATTGGTCGTGGTGGCATTTTTATAAGAAATGTACACTCTATTACAGAATGGAACGCTGATTGCAAATCTGCTTTTGATATCTGCAAAGCAATTCTGGGAGGGGGTTATGGGTATTTTTTGGAAAAAACTTTTAAGCGCGGCTACTTTTGATATAACAATTGTAATCCGTGATCTCGAATGGGACAAAGTTACAAGCTAAGCGGTTTATGTAGTTTCTTTAGCAACAAATTCGTGCTAGTCATTAACACCTTCCAACGTCGGAAGGACCTTAACACCTTTTTTACCTTAGCAAAACCTTTGAAATTTTGCCTTAAGAGATACTATTGCTACGCTCACAGAAGTCCGTTCAATGTTTTTTGAGTTGGTATACATTTCATTTGGAAATCCACTTCGACCAAGCATCTTTCCCTTGTAAGACCCGTATAACATCAAGTCTGGCATTAGCACGGAGGAAGATCTGGAATGACATGCACGAAAGTCCATAATGGAGGAAAATGGACTGTCAAACCCCATTTTATTCGTTTGCGGTAAAAAGTGGTCGGAATCTGCTTTCGCTACGTTATCCGAGATTTTATCTCATCGTAACCACGAAGCAAAGCGGTGTGATGAAAATGATTCAACCCTACCTGATCTCTCGCTTGCAAAAGAATCATGCGAAAAGTCTATTTAGAAGGGGCCAAATGGGATTTACCTTCATTTAAAATGGACTTGAAAGCCCATTTTACTCCCAGCAGCAAGCTGAGCTGGGACTAAGCCCATTTTTGACCTTTTTGCATATTTTTAACTGCGATTTTTTGAGAATGTGTTCTTTAGCCTATTTTGAGGTAATCAGAAGGTGGGAAAAGTTCAATGTCTTTTATTAAGTCTGGAATACAAGTTTCTTTCTAAATTCATACAAACGCTAAAAAATCGTGGAAGAGGTTGAATTCACCAAAATATTTGCTAACAAACTCAAATGCTTCCAAATATCAGGTCAATGCGATTATGTAAATCAAACAAAGTCTGTTAACTCTCAAAATTTTCAACCAAAACTAAATTTATGATTTCTATTTGGAAATAAGAAAAGATTTGCGTTTCTATATAATCACTCAAAAGCTATCTTTTGACTAATCTCGTAGAATCAAACCTTAAAGACGGCATTTCAAACGCGATTTTGAGTTTGGTCGCAAGAATTAATGAAGCGCCGCTGGCTAACAAGATAAATTTTGCGAAAAATTTCCTACTAGCAATATTCCATATATTCAACTATGGAGATATAAACATTAATGCTGAAAGACAAAGAAAAGCTGAAATACAACGTTTGCGAATTCATCTTTTGCAGACTCGTTTTTAAAAAACCCTTTGGGTTTAAGTGTAATGCGAGAGTTCCTATGAGGTAAGTATTCTGATTCATGATTGCAGTGCAAGTCTAGCCAAAGTTTGCTTTATGCGGAAAGCTCTTCATACGAATTGATTTACTGCAGATTCATAGAAGTCTTGAAAAGCGAAGATTTAGATATTACGTGAATTTTAGTTTTGGAAGTAATTTAGAAGCATAGTCATCAATAATCATGGCATTTTCTGAGGTGTAACGAAGTGGGGAAGACTAGAATACTAATGTGACTGATATTGTAATATTAGGTCAGCCTAGTTAGGTATCGACCACTTGGTGTAAATGAGTTTGCAAGAGTGAGTAAACAGGTTGAGGCAAGTTAGAGTAAGGTTCGCCGAAGAAGTTTTGTTGGTGGACGTCTCCTATATAGATATGCCTTGCCGTGTGGATTCGTGCTACCATGCCATGAAGACGGTTCCGGGGACTTGCAAAGCTTCGTCGCAGATCAGGAGATTGAAACGGTCTAGGTATACCCTGAAAAGGCCTTTTTTGTCGGTGGTATTCAACAGAGATGCCGTCGTAATACAGATGATCCTTGGATTCATATGCTTAAACAACTCAAATAACCGCCGGGGGCAGGCGGCCATGCGAATTTTGAGCAAGCGCGCACCGGAAAAATAGTTCGTTGATTTTTTGCGGCCCGCTTGCAGAAATTTGGAAGAAAGTTGGCAAAATCAAAGACGAATGCTTGAAGAACAATCGCGGTTTCTTTATGGATTAGCTGCGGCGCAGTGGCCGCATTCTCGCGGACTTTCCGCGAGAATATGCAAAAATTTCGAGGGCCGCACGTTCCTTTGTGGAGGACCGCGCAACCCCCAGGTACTTTCCGCTGAGGGAAAGTACCTCAAACTTGAGTAATTAAACCAACGGTGACACCTCTGCCACACAGAGTCTTACCTGCGCTCGACGTACGCCCGTAAATACCTAAAAAGGGTCCGAGCGCTTGCTGAAAGTTTGGCAAGCGCTCGCTGGAAGATATTATTTGACGAGCGCTCGCAGAAATTCTGTATTGCTGCCCGCTGGCAGAACGCGGAAGTACCGCCCGCTGAAGTTGGCCACGCCCCAAAATTCTGCTGACCGCCTGCAGAAAAGCGCAAGTTTGCGGACCGCCTGCCCCCGGCGATTATCTGAGCAGGTGCATAGACTGTGCCAACTCAGACAACTGCTGAGGGCAGGCGGGCACCGGAAAAATAGATTGCTGATTTCTCGCACCCCGCTCGCGGATTTTTTGCAAAGCAATCAGGACTTTTCGGAAGACCGCTTGCTGAGTCAGCGGATTTTTGAGAGACCGCCTGTTGAATTTTTTTTCGCTCTTACCTTTTGCAGATATATTGCTGAATTTCTGAGGAATCGAGAACTCAGCAAGCGGTCTTCGGAAAAGTCCTGATTGCTTTACAAAAAATCGCGAGCGGGGTGCAAGAGATCAGCAATCTATTTTTCCGGTGCCCGCCTGCCCTCGGCGATTGTTTGAGAAGGCGTTTGAGGACTTTGTTGAGATCAAATCTGGCGTTGATGGGACATCAATATCGAACGCTATTGTTTCGGCGACAAACCGGACCACTCCGACATCCTTGGCTTGGACAAATCCTAACAGACTTTTTGTGAATTGCGCTATGCTGTGTTCGTGGAGGCGGTTACTATACCTTTTGCTCTTGCAGTGCCTGATATATGGCTATACTAACGCCAACTACTGTTTTTCCGGTTTTTCCAAAGGCTGCTTGCAGCGCGATCAAGGGGTATTTGCTATTCCCTAGTAACAGAGCTTCTTGTTGGTCTTGGTGAGGTGTAGAAGGCGACCGTGGATTGTGACTGTGTCGATGACTGGAACTTCTTCCACCTGCTCTGCCTCTTCGTCCGTCATACATCCGAATGCGGTCGCTCCATAGGCGAAGTCGATAAGCGTGTGCCAGCTTCTCGAAGATCCTTGCTTATCTTCATTCGTGCTATTGCCTCGAATGCCAGGTTGGCCTTTTCTGGAATTCGCGCGAGCTTGACATATAGGTCCAGGAAGGCGGTGTGCCTTCTACTATGCGGCCGACTTCGCGTAGTGCTTGTACCATGGTGTGGTGATCTGGGTGTAAGCCGATAAAACCACCCGTACTTGCCTACTTTTCGGTGAGAACGTAGCCTCCTCGATTTCGACCTTGGTGTATCGTCCTGCGCCTCTAATCCGTACTAAAACAGGTCGGTGCTTTGTCCATTCCGTTTCTGACGACATATCCGCCAGGGTGATCTCTCGTTTTAGAGGATAGGAAGTGAGTGATGGAACGGTGCCGGTTGCCCTGTGAATCCTGTAGTCATCATACATTGTATTGTAGGCAGCAGAGCAGCACTGCACAAGCCATGCTGTAAACCTTGCTCATCCGTCTGATGGCCTGGTCGTACTTGTCGATCAGATTATTGAACGGTTCCCTTCTATCGCAAAACCATTCGGCATCATCATCTTGGGCCTTCATAACTAATGGAGCCAAGCGGGGAAATAGTACTCCATTTGTCTATACAGCCAGTCTCGTGCCGTCAGTGATGCTGGGGGTTCCGAGAAGCGTACCGCAGAAAATATTTGGCGTCGACTCTGAGTGAAGAGGATCTCGTCTTCTTGCATGTGCGGCCACTCAAACTTACACAGAGACTTCGTAATTGTTACTGCTTGACCTGCTCCGATGGCCAGCTTGAAGTGTTAACAGTGTCTAAAAATTCGCCTCTACAGGCGAGGTCCAGTATGACAGCACTGTGGCGTTCCGACCAGACGGCAGGGGTGACGAAGGCAAAGTTAGCCGCTCGGAAAAAGAACGCGGATTGATCTCGAGGGCTGTCGTGCGCGGTTCTCTAGCGAGTTGGAGACATCGTGCTGGGGAACGCAGTGCCGCTTCGGTCGAAACATCATAGACCCATACGAAGCAGGGCCCGGCACAGGTGGCTTTGCAAGCAAGCTGGATATCGTTTTTGGGGAAAAGCAAAGGGGATATCGTTTTTGCGGCAGAGCATAACGTTGTCTTTCAGTCTGCGGCCGGCACGCTGCCGGCATGCCGCTAGCAGATGAACAAAAGGTTTGTTTACAGCGAAGTGAAGATGAAATGGCACCAAAATAGGTGTGTAGATGGGCAATGGGGAGTTAGGACTAAGTATGAAAAATTACGAGAAAATTATGTGAACTAAAGGCGTGCTCAACTTTTTTCGGAGTTGGGTGGCTTTCAAGCCACCTGGATAGCCCACCTGAGGTGGCTTATGAAAGAAAAAGTCATAATTTTTTCTTCCTCCACATAATTTTTCTACTTTTTTACATACTTTTCATCTACATCCCAAACCCTACAAACTGGTTTTTAAACCGCCTCAAACCCCCTTCTCCCCGCTTAGTTATAGCCCCTTAAAAATTTTAAATGGCCGCGGAAAGGCTGCTCTAGGCGCATATTGCTGCACGATGGATACATCATGTCGCCATTCCGGAGAATATGAATATCATCGCGTATGTTCGATGATTCTTTTTCTTTTTTTTCTGCTGTTGCTTTGTTCCGTCCCTTTTCATGTATTTTCTCTTCGAATATCTCGTGGCGGATGTCGTAATTTTATTGAAGTCAAAGGGGACTTCATTTTTTGCAATTTCGGGACGCACCTCGTGCCGAGCCCTGGTCTAGGGTCAAAGGGGACTTCGTAAAAGTCTGCAAAAGTCAAGGGGGACTTCGTTTTTTGCTTTTTCAACTAGCCACCTTGTGCCGAGCCCTGATACGAGGTCCTTCATCGAGACTAAAGCTTTGTCATAACCGTACGCGTTGTTCTCGATGTTGAAGAAAGATTGGTCTAACAGGATGCAATGCAGTTCGCGACGGTCCGGCAAAAAGACAGAGAAATCCTTAGCTTCCAAAACAAGGTTGTTTGATGCGATGGCTGCAACTTGGTAAAGCATCGGATAACTGCCTTTTAGTTTGGGTGGTGAAAAGATTCACGATTGCACTCTTTTGAGAGCTTTTGTCCGTTCCTGGGGTACGCGTTCGCGTCTCCCCGTAGAGTTGTTTTTAGCATTATCTGATTTATCTCGGAAATCAATGGCGTCTCGAGGGTTGAAAACTCGATGAAGGGTAGAGTCGTTGATACTTGTTTCATGTCTGGTGGTACTCGGGGGAACAACGAACGTACAAAAGATGACGACATGTATCCAAGGTGAGGAACCCGTCTGTATGTGTCCTTCCGAAGGAGTACCACTAGACATGAAACAAGTATCAACGACTCTATCAGTCAGGTCTTCGCAAGAAGTGGTCGTGGTTTGACGTGGCGTGCCTATAGGTGCATGTCCATTAGATAATGCCAATAGTCATCCAGGGTTCGTCGTAGTAGCCCTTCGGCTTGTGCAGGCCCTCTAGCATGGCGCTTAAGCGATTTATGTTTACGTGTTGACGGATAACGACGTTTTCGAATGTGTTCGTCTACCTGTGGCGGTCGAGTGATTCGAATTTGACGATTCGCTGGACGAACGATGGAATAGGAAAAGAAACGTTAACAGTCGCGAGCGCTTTGAGCAGTGAGCGCTATCTGAAATGGTAAACCTGAGTTAAGTGCTGATATGGAGGATGCGATGACGACGAAGAGCGTGCGCATATCAATTGTGGGAAATGGAAACAGAAACTAGTGCGGATAAATGACATGCTAGGTAAAAAGTAAACTGTAGAGGACAAAGGGGGTAAAATAGTCAGGAGGTTGTGAAAATGTTGCAAGTTGGAGTGGATGAAAATTAGCCCTGTGGAACTTTTCTGTAAGGTGCAAAGATTCAAAGAGATTGCATATGTGGCCTGAAACGTGTAATGTCTGGGTGCGAAGGCATATTCGTGTCACGTAAAGATGATTGCTGTTACCGTATGCGTGTACCCGAAGACTATTGTCTCGGTTGCTTCGACTTCCGTTAGTGCGGTCTGTTCGTCGTTAGGTGCCCAAGGAGTAGTGAAAACCGGACCTGAAAGTTCGATGCAAGGTTTCACTAGATTCATATGCACTCGCATCGGCGACGTTTGCGTTGATGATATGCTGGTGATAATGAGGTGGGGATGCTCGATTTCAATTACCCTGATTTGACCTAACCATGGGTATTGTAGTTTTGAAAGTCCCAGTTGGGGAGTGAAATCCTTGAGGTAGAACCGATCCCCGACCTTAACTGACAGGGGTTGTAAATGAGATTTATCATACTGCCTTTTGATTTGTACCGCATATTTCTTGTTGAATTCTGATGCCGATCGCCATGCGTGAAGGAGAGTGGAAACCAAATGCTGAATGTATATGCGTGTTTCTACATCGACTGGTATGTGTTTTTCTGCTTGATATCGTAGCATGAGATCAATGTTAAAGACTGGATCGCAGCCAAACCTCAAAAAGAATGGTGTATCGTTTGTGCTAGAGTGTGTGGTGGTGTTATACGTGAATGCGCAAGTGGAACGAACTCGTCCCAAGTTTCTAAAGAATCGTTAACGTACGTTCGCATCATGGGATGAAAGGTTGCGAATACCCGTTCGCACGCGCCGTCCCCTTCATGGTGATAGGAGGTTGTATATTATCTATCAATGCGCAGTAACTCACCTAGTTCTGTCATGATTCCCCCTTTGAAGTATGGTGCATTATCTGAAATTAGCTGCGACTCAACCCCATACTTGAGAATGAGTGGTCCATAATATTAGGTCGGTCCGAAAGTTTGTTCGCACCATTTTCAAAAAATCATAATCTTTGCATCATAAAGATTTTGCGCAATTTAAATTTTATTAGAAAGCGTAAAGCATGTGTTTCCAATAGTCTTCCGGTGACTTTCCAGCGTGTTCAGATTGCAGAGATAAAAATGAAAGAACGAGAACATTCGAAATTTGAAATTTTTGAGCAAAAATTCTAAAAATCTAGAAACTGTGCGATAAAATTCAGAACAGCCATCATCCTAAATTTTCTTATATCTTGTTACTAAATGAATTAAGTTTGTGCTGATCGAGCTCTTCTTTCAAAAGTTATGATTTTTTGAAAAAAAAATGCGGAAAAATCAATTTCTTAAGAAATCTTAGGAAAGTGATTTTTCGGCATCATTTTTCAAAAAAATCATAACTTTTGAAAGAAGAGCTCGATCAGCACAAATTTAATTCAGTTAGTAACAAGATATAAGAAAACTTAGGATGATGGCTGTTCTGAATTTTATCGCACAGTTTCTAGATTTTTAGAATTTTTGCTTAAAAATTCCAAATTTCGAATGTTCTCGTTCTTTCATTTTTATCTCTGCAATCTGAACACGCTGGAAAGTCATCAAAAGACTGTTGGAAACTACATGCTTTACGCTTTCTAATGAAATTCAAATTGCGCAAAATCGTTTTGATGCAAAGAAGTTATGATTTTTTGAATATGGTGCGAACGAACTTTTGGACCGAACTAATAGCTTGTGCAACGGTAGTAGCTTTGCAGTTTGGAAGGGCTACTGCTATTACATATTTGAAGAAATGGTCAATCGTGGCTAAGATGTACCGATTGCCCGCGAGCGAAGGATGCAGAGGTCCTGTGAGGTCCATGTATACTTTGTCAAAAATCGCGCCACTAACAAGGGAAGTACTATCAATGTCCGTGGCCTTTTGATATGAGATGCATATCATTTGAAGTAGATTCGAACGCTGATTTCAAATCTGCTTTCCCTTTCTGCGGAACGGTCTTCTGAAGAGAGTTAAGGAAGCCTGAACATTCTATTTTGGGGGCGCTCCTTGAGTTTGAGGGCGCTGCTATGTGCATTGGTAGTGCAGTAATGTAGTGATAAGTTGCTGACATTGAAGATGAAAGGTCGGTGGTTCGAATACTGTGCGGAGCGAAGTATTTTGCTTATTGAATCTGAATTTGAAAGCACTCTAAATCGCTTGCAGACACTTACTGTAATGCCTTTGGCATAAGTGACCTAGAAAAACAATTTTCTGCAAAACTGCTTGTAATGAGAGCCTGAAATTCTATTTGACTTCCTTACTAGTAAAACAGGACCAAACATGGCGCAGCACGTTTGTCATCGTATAAAGCTCAAAAAATGCACACTGTCATTAGTCCAAAAGATGTTCTCTCCTGTTTGTGCTAAGGCTTACAGTAAGTGTCTGCAAACGATTTAGAGTGCTTTTAAACTCATATTCAATATGCAAAATGGCTCGCTCTCTACCGGATTTAAACCATCAACCTCTCGCATTCAATGTCAGCAAGTAACCATTACACTACTGCACCACAACGCACATAGCAACGCCCTCAAGTTCAAGGGGCGCCCCCAAAATAGGATGTTCAGGCTTCCATAACTCCCTTCAGAAGAGCATTCCGCAGAAACGGAAG